ATCAATGCAGGACAGAAACTCCAGAATCTGTCTCCTGATTCTGTATTGTTACCCCTTAGTGCTAATTTTGGTCAGCTCCTTCCCCTCCAAGAACATTTAGTATTTCATGCTTTTCAACTCTGATTAAGATTTGTATTGCTCTGCTGTTTGCAAGCAGCATGTTAACATGAACATGAGCAGAAGATCTCAACCTTGACTTTCATGCCTTTCATGTCTTTCTAAAAATGACATGAAAATTAACAGCAGATGTTTGTCCCTCTCTGGCTTTCAAAATTTACATCCCAAATTTGTACTGCTGCTTAATGACTTAAGATTGTAAATCATGCAATACCAGTCAGTGGAAGCAAATTCTGTAAGTAGCTTTGTGACATTTCTGCTCCCAGGATATAGGATATATTCTATTTCTGTATCAAAAGAACAGAAATATCTGCAATATCTGAATGCTATATATATGCCATTCTGTACCCTCTGGATCTGGATACAGGAGGTTTTTCTTTTTGTCATTTCTCACATTACCTATATTTCACAATCAACCTCTTTTGTTTTTGCAGTGCCTGGGCATTGCTTACCCCACTGCTGCAACCACATCCTTTTCAGTGTTCCACGAGTATTCACTTTTTTCCAAATTACAGAGAAGAAAGTATTCTCCTAACCAGCATTCCTCATGGTTAGGTTCAAAAAATCTTTAAATCTTTTTGGATTTCCTTTCCCCTCCCTGTCTGGATTCCTGCTAGATCCTGTTCACCATTTCTCGCAGTGTAATGCCTGAGGTCCAGGTATCCTGGCTCCCACAGATGTCAGTGGGATTTTCAGCACTGCAAAAGAAGGACATTTTCCCATGTTTATTTGGAAATTCCTCTTCATCCAAGCTGATGTGACTGACTGTGTTTTTCAGCCTTGTCAACCCCACACTGCTCCTACTATCCTCTTGAGCACAATGACACTACTGAAAAAAATATCAGGAAATAACAAGTATTCAATTAAACTGTGCATTAATTTGCACTACTTTTCACTACTGCCCTTTACAAGTTAGGTCACACTGCTGTCCTGACACAATTCATAGTGTTAATATGACTTCTTCCTGGTACTTGGGCTTCCTATCAATAATACCCTTCAAAAGCGCGAAGAAAAGCTGATTTCTTATCTGAAAAATGCATCTAATTTCACTTTAAAAATCAGATTCTTGGTTAAGTCTATTGCTAAAATAAGAATGAAAAAATAATAAAATAATTAGCACTAAAAAAGATCCTAAAGCTCTTTCTGGTTGCAGGAAAAAAATGATGTATTTTCCTGATTTTCTGCAATTTCTGATCCAGCTAGAGGCAGAAGTTAAAATGCAAAAAGAACATGGATTTGACTTTCTCCTTGCAGTTATGATTCCATGTTGAAGAATTATGAACTTCAGAAACTGTTGAAAAGCTTTGGATAAACCTAAGATTCTCTCACTGCTTAGAAGGCTAACCTTTGGAGTTTTTCGACAACTCAGATGATTTTCAGGCCACAAGCATTTCTAAAATATTTTCCAAAATGTTGAATGTGCCATATTTTAGCTATTTGAGCTGTATATATATAGCTTGATCAAGTGAAAAAACTTGTTATTAAAATAAAATCAGTTCAAAAATGCTGTCAGGAAGATGAGGAATTGAAAGAATTCTTAAAACACTTGTCATATAGTTGACAAAAATTGTTTTGAAATAGATGCAAGCAGGGTATTTTTTCTATAACTTTGAACTGTGTTAAGCTTCTACCTTCAATGCATTTAGAGGTACTTAGGATTTTTCATTAACTTCTGAACTTCACAGTCTATCAATCAGTAAGATATCTTCTACTTCTGTTATTGCTCTATGATTATATGTATAGGAACTCCCACAAATTGTCAGTCAATTGTAGAACAAACTAAACTGTAAAAAGGGGGTCTTTTGAAGGCTCATTTGACAGTATAATAGGAGACCTATGCCTTCTGGGGAAAAAATTGTTTTCTGCTCATGCAGAGATATACTACTATACTTTTACTATAATCCTGTAAAGTGTAAACAGAATATAACTGTTTAAATTAAATTTCAGTCAGAAAGTTCTAATTCTGAATCTGTCCTCTGGTTTGAGTACTTTCCCTTGTCCATTATATACAACGTACTCAGCTACTAAGGTAAATCTTTCACAATGCTTCATGAAGAAATCCCCGTTAAGTGTTTATCAAAGCATTGTATCAGTATAACAAATGATCAGACTAAATAGCATTGCTCCATTGAAATAATGAAGTAATGTAAATTAGTAATACCTGACAACCAAAAATGAGTGAAACACTGTAAATGAAGTCAGCTCAGGATATGTCTGATCCTTGGAATGATTTTGCCTTTGATTAAATAGTATTATACCAGTGCTCACAATTTGTCTTCATTCTGGAAAGTGATGAATTTTACTGGGCTCATTTATCTAGTTTATTTAAAATTGTAGATGAACAAAAGTGCTAGGTTTTGCTTATGGAACCAAGAACAAAATTTCTGGTAGGTGACTGGTGAGTTGCCTAACTTCATTGATTTCACCTAAATTTTTGCTCTGAATTTGAATCCATGAACTCACAAAAGTGAGGAATGAATGATTTTGAGTAAAACTCCAAAAGTAACTTGATCAGCTCAGGTTTCCTTCAAACGAAAAATTCTAATGATATTTTCTTAAATGTAGCTAAAGTTTAGATTGGCCAAAATTAAAGGAAAAGAGGTATTCTTGGTAAGAATATATAGTTTTCTATTTCCTTTTTCTCCTTTTATATAAATCCCTCATTGCTCAAAATTTGAACTTCATTCAAACCAGACAATTTTAGATCCTTAAAAATGTTTACTTAACATTATTTCCAAATTATATAGTACATTGGTAGGGTTATGTTGTCTACTTGTCTTTTTTCATTCTCAGGTATCTTTTAACTTCGTGGTTTCTTTTGTTTTGGCTTGGTGTTTGTTTTCATTAGTTCATTTGTAACATTTTTTTTTTAGTCCTCTGGAGGGAAATTATTTTACTTGTCAGCATTATATCATGCAATATCATGACAGTGTTGATGTTACAGTTTTAAGACTATCAAATGATGGGTTGGGAAAACAGTCTTTTTTTTCTTTACTTTTATATTTTTCATTGCAGAGGAGCAATTCAAACTCATCAGGTGTCTGACTATTTCTCAAAGATCTAACTCCTAAAATCTCTCTTGAAAGAAACTCAACATTTGCACAAAATTAGTATGAGCATACTCTTCACAGTGTGGAGAAAAACTTAAATAAATCTAAAAGATTGAAGCTAAAACTTTCCTTCAAATTCAGAAATACCTGACTTTGAAGCATTTATCTGTAGGTTATGCTACTAGGTAAATACTGAAGGCACGAGTTTCATTTTGCTCCACTTTTCATTGCAAACGAAACAACAAGTGCAAGTGTCCGACTGGCACAGTAGGGATCATCCAGAGCACAGAGCTACATGAAACAATTGCTAGAATAAGTGGGACTCTACTTTTTCATAAAAGTGCCAAGGCCTCCAGTGCAGTCTGCAGTAACACTTGTTGCATGTCCAGCTCAGGACAGTTCCAGGTTCCATCTTTCCTGGTGCAGAGAGTCAGCCTCACCCAGGTGCACCAGCAGAAACTGTATCTTGAAAACTTCATTTCTGTGCTTTCCACCAATGCCCTGGGCCTTAGATTGTACAATGCTAGGCCATTTGTGCTAAGGACATGTTCACACTTATTTCTGAGGACAGTGAAAGCACTGAGCTTCCTATGCTAATGGTTTGTTTTGTTTGGTTTTGTTATATTCTATCTAGGCTTTTATAAGCACTTCTACAACCACTGCAAGCAGAGTATAAGGCAAAGGGAAATATCATACAGGTGTTGCTGCATCTTGCCATATTAGCCTTCATTTTAGCAAATTCTTCAAGAATGTTTGAAATGTCTTAATCTGTGTTGTGTAGCTGTCCTCAGTGAACTGCTGGGTGACTCTGCAATATTTTTGTCTCCCTCTATATGCAGCTTGTTTCCTTATTTCACCATAGTACTATCACTGATTCCATATAGTGCCCTAATCCATTGCAAACATCAGTTAGAATATGTCAGATGCTGTGGGATTCTGCAGAGTGCCTTATTTAAGTATTAGATGGCATTACACTGTTGTTACAATTTTTTTTAATTTTAGATACTGATTCCTTATGGTGTTTCTGCTCCAATGTACCAAAACCCTTGTGTTATTACAAAGACAGCAGAAGAGTTTCTTAGTGAATCACTGGAGTATTCACCTTTGGAGATGAGATTTTTGGATGTTTCACCCTTGAAATTTTGATTGAATTTGGTTGTGTGTAAATGTCTTCCAAAGACTCCAGCCAAGTCTGTCTGGGCTCAGCCTGCTCTTTTCACTTTTTTGTAGACCTTGGATACTAAATGAGAAAGAGACAATGGTTATTAGAGCTAATATGGCACCAGTAAAATATGAAGAGAGGAATACACAAGTAAAATGTAGTGGTTACAGCACAGTATGGTTTTCTCTGCTCACGAGCCTTGAGTGAGCTCAGTTTCATGTCTGGTTAGTCTTTGTCCTCCCTCCAGCTGCCCGTTTTCATGACCTTGCTAAGGAATTTTCCAAGACCTTTACTCCTTCAGAAAAATTGGCCAGCAATTTCAAAAGTTTTTAGTGGGGGAGAGGAAGGACATAAAACCTGAATGTACTATCACAAAGGCATCATTTCCTTGGATACCACGCTAACAAAATAGAGTAAATATTTATACACAGCAGCTGTTAATGATGAGCATTAAATGAAATTGTAAGAAAGGCGACAGATTTGCTGAAAGCACAGGAATTAACATTTTCCTCCAAGAGAAATGTGGTTACTGAAAGCCTGAAGTAAAAGCTTTTGTGAGCCTCATATAGGCTCTAAGAAATTTATATTGCCATTTTAACATAATCTTAAAGGTCACCAATAATTATACTTATTCATAAAATGATAATTTGCTTTATTTCCATCTTGTTCACAGTGTATTTTCATGCTTTCAGTGAGTGTTTTGTGTCTTTGGTTTCTTTGGAAATTTGCAAGAAGATAAAAAGAAATCTCAGAATGTAAAGTACACGCTGGGCTTTGGGAAGCCTGCAATGATAAAAAAATTCTTTCTTTCCAGAGCCTGTGAGCAGCTCTGCAATATCCAGTATGGCATGTAAGAGGCAGCAACAGGTAAAAGGATGCACAGTAATTCTACACTGCTGAATTAATCCAGAGGACAAGTGTTTTGACTGGATGGCAGTCAAATCAAACTGGGTGCTATTAAAAGGTATGTCAAGGACAATGCAATCACCAGGCATAGTCATTGTGGGATCATAAAAGGAAAGTCATGCCTAATTAATTTGACACCCATCTAGAATAGGGTTACTTGCCTAGTGGATGAAAGGGATGTGGTGGGTGAGGCTTTTCTTGAATTTAGTAATATTTAGTATGATTTTGGTAAGATTTTTGATGCTGTCTCTCAAAGTGTTCTTCTGGACAAGCTGTTGTGATGATCAGGTTCACAGCGGATAGAAAACCAGCTGAATGTCAGAACTTCAGGGGTTTTAGTGTGTGGGGCTACATCTGCCTGGTGAGCAATCACCAGTGGTATTCCTCAGGAATTCACTGTAGGACCAGTTCTGGTCAACAACTTTATCAATGATCTGGATGCAGGACTTGAATGCACCATTAGCAAGTGTGCCAATCATACCAAACTGAGAGGTGCTGCTGACTCTCTCAAGGCACAAGAGCCTTGCAGAGGGATCTGAAATAGATTAGAGCACTGGGTAATTACCAGTGGCATGAAATTAAACAAGAACAAATCCAGATTCTGCCCCTGGCATGCAGTAAGGCTGGGCACGGGTATAAGCTGGCAGAGGAGTGTGTGTGGAGCAGCCGCCAAAGGGCTCTGGGTGCTGGGGGGCAGCAGCTCAGGGTGAGCCAGCAGTGTGTGCCCGGGCAGCCAGGAGGGCAAACCCCATCCCGGGGGGCAGCAGACACAGCATCACCAGCTGGGATTGGGATCATCCTGCTGGATTCAGCCCTGGTGCCCTCACCCTGAGTCCTGTGTGCAGGGCTGGGCCCCACACTCTGAGAAGGGTGGGAAGGAGGTCCTGGAATGGTCCGGAGGAGGACAACAGAGCTGGTGGAAGGGCTGGAAGGCACATCCTGTGAGGAGGGGCTGAGGGCTCTGGGTCTGTCTGGGCTGGAGAGAAGGAGGCTCAGGGGTGACCTCATTGCTCTGTACAGCTCCCTGGGCAGGGGGCCTGGAGAGGGAAGATCTGATCTCTTCTCTCTGCTCTGGACATCAGGAAGCACCTTCCTACTGAGAGAATGGTGAAACACTGTCACAGTCTTCCCAGAAATGTGGTGGATGTCCTGTGCCTGTCAGTGCACCTGGACAGCGCCATTCACATTGGGCTTTAACTGCTAGTCGGCCCTGAAGTGGTCAGGCAGCTAAACTACACAATCTCTTTAAGTCCTTTCCAACTAGTTTATCCTGGGATAGGTTTGTTTCTGCTATTTAATCAGATATATTTCTGCTAATTAAAAATCAGTAATTTTCAAATGTCTTTTAATTTTGCATATTTATTTAACTTCTGCATTTCAAAAAGTATTTGTAAAACACTTGTATGAAGATAGCAAGGACTCTACTAATAAATGAGATTTTTTGCCAAGTGTGAGGGACAGTCTCTGTAATTTTTGTCATGTAGATGGAAGAGAAATCACAAAATGAATCCTGCTGGCTCCAGAAATTCCTGTCTGCTGCATTGAAGTGAATGACATCTATGGAAAACACATCATAGACATATATTATAGCACCATTTAGGTCCCAGCTTTCTGCAAGTCTCCTAAATTTGTTGTTATAAATCTCAAAAACAACCAAAAACAACTCAGGAATGAGCTGAGATATCTGAACTGAAATAATGAAAATTGCAATACATAAAATGATATGTATCTTTCCTGCAGTATAATCAGATTTAGCCCAGACCTGCAAACAGTTGTAAAAAAATCACTTTACTCACATGGGCTCCTATCAGTTGGTTCTGCCACTGAATTCAGTGAGTGCTGATACACTTATGTTCTTTCATGTCAGAATTGGAAATAAAACTATTACTTGAATATTATCACCCGATGTAGAAAACATCTGGAAATGAGACATCTATGCTGGACATTTCAGCATTGCTGGTTTGAAAAGCAAGGAATAGAAACTCTTTGTTCATCACTCCATAAAGACTATGTTCTCAAGTGATTAAACTGTATTCTTTGAAGTGTTATATTTGTGCAGCTGTGCAGCAAATAAGTACAGAATACAAGATACATTACATATTGCATGTACACCAAAAGCTGTTGAAGTTCCTGGGGGAAGTGTGCATTGAATAGGAGGCCCAAGTGTGGAATGTAGGGTTTGTGTTTGTAGAAGTGCCCATTTCTGTACGCATGTATGTGTTCAGTCAATGCATCCTCAGATACTGCATGGATGCAGTGCGTGTGTCTTTCCCAGTTCATCCCCTCTGAGCACATCCAGAGGCCTTGTCCCCAGGCAGCTCTCTGCAGGTTTGATTTGCATGTATTGGTAGGTCCTGCAGGGTGAAACAACTCCCAAGGACTGGGGACTGCTCCTGCTCTGGCTGAGTCAGTGGCGGTCACTCAGGGATTCAGTCACAGCAGCACAAACCTGAGCACTCCCATGCCTGCAGCTCGTCATGATCCCAACAATATAGCTACAAATTCCTTTATTTTCCCTCTGACTTTCACACCATTTACCTAACTCCTGTTAAAGAATACACTTTCACCCTTCCTACAATGACAATGTTTTGTCTCTGGATACAAATGTTTATCCGACATACAGGGACCCTGGTAACACAGAGGTACAGGCATGGGTTAGTGAGTAAGAGACTTGGTTTCCAAGGCTTGCAAGTCCTGTCATCCGTGACAAATGACAATTCCATGTTTCTTGTCTCACACCAGTTTATGGTTGTGCATTCTGTGTGAGTCTTGCAGGCGGTTGAGTAGAGAGCCGAGCAACTAGCTCAGTGTTGATTTGTTTCTCTTGATGAACATAAGGATGCTGTTACTTGCTGCTCCTGCATGGTCAGTCTGTGGAGCATCCTGGTTTGACCTTCCAGCTCAGGCAGATGGTGTGATTCGTGGGGCGTCCTGAGCAGGGCCAGGAGTTGGACTGGATAATCCTCATCAGTCCTGTCCAACTCAGCATACTCTAGGATTCTATAATTTTGTTTTTCTATTTGCACAATATTAGGCCGGATCCTGCTGACTTCCAATCTTCTAATGATAAAGTAGAAATACTCTCTCTAATGATAAATTACCTAAGTCTGCAAAAAGAGGTTTCTCTTCCTTTGACGTCTCAGAGAGGTCAGTGAGTGGATCAGCCACCAATGTGTAAGCTTGGAGGAGAAGCAATCATACCTTCCTCTTCATTTTGTACTCCACGTGTTCTCTCTGCGCGCTGAACAAACAGCACAAAAGTTACAGTATCTGCTCTTGCTCTAAGTTACATTATCTGCCCTTGCTCTTGGGCATGGTTCATGGGGAAATGGAAACAGAAGGGAAAAATGGCAATTCTTCCCAGTATTCCCCACCTAGGGAGAAGGTGAAGGAGCAGACCAGCAAGTCAGGCCACCTGCTTCTCCCACAGAACCCATAGCATGGAATTTCCTCTTTTGTGATAAAACATTGGTAATAACCACAAAATTGCACGCTGGAGCAGTGGCTTGTCACGGAAGGATTCAGTATTATCCCTGTTTATGGAGTGGAAAGAAGTGTGGAGAGCTGAAGCCCCTGCCCAAGCCACCTGGAGGAAGGAGGATCCCCTCAAGACAAACACTGTTCACCTCTCCTTGGCTTCATCCTCCAAGGAGCCTTTGACTTCTAAGAAGATTCACAGCTCAGAAAGTCAAATGCCTCAAAATTAAGAGAGAAAAATAGTGGCTATCCACGTAGAGCCAAACTCTGCTGGGCTTATACGCTTATATCCTGACCCCACCAAACCTGGGAGTTTGGTGAAAAGTTGCCATCCATGCCTTAATGGGGCGTTATGCCTCCTTTTCCCAGGGTCCCTGGATCAGGGAATTACAGAATGGTTTACATTGGGAAAAAACTTCAAAGATCATCTACTCCAAAACCTCTGCCACGGGCAGAGGCACCTTCAGGAAACTCAGCCTGTTTTTCTGAGCAGTGACAGAATAGAAAAGAGATAGAAGAGCACTGGACCTGTGGAAAAAAGAAATTGGGTCAGAAATACAGTGTAGTGCACAAAGCAAAATATTTCAAGGCCCTCTCCTTCCTTCACACATTCACACTGGTTACATTCCCCAGCTTTTCCCTGTGAGCATGCATGTGCATAGTCACATATGTGTGATAGTGTTGGTGGCCTGAGTTACCTTGAAGTTGGTCCTCAATAAGGACCACAAAAAAATAAAAAAAAATAGACAAAGTCAGACCTTTTTGTCCTTGAGGCTCCTTTCAGGTATAAAAGTGCAAATGCTTATTCGGGGTTTTGAATGCATAGTGTGCAGGCCAATATAGAGTTGAGTGAGGGTTTTGCTGATTTGTTAGGTTTTTTGTTTAGTTGGTTTTTTGGTCTTCTGGGGCTGTAGGGGTTTTGTTTGTTTGTTTTGTTTTTTGTTTTACTTTTGTGTTTTGGTTTTTGGTGTTTTTTGTTTGTTTGTGGTTTTGTTGTTTCAGTTTTGGTTCGGTTTGGGGGTTTTGAGGGTTTTATATTTTTTTTTTGGTTTGGCTTGGTTTGGTTTTGTTGTTGTTTTGTTGAGTTTTTTGGTTTTTTGTTTTTTACTTTTGACTATTTTTCTGTTGGTGTTTATTTCCCCCAAATACCTCTTTTTGGAGTAAAGATAAAACAATTTACAGCTGTGGGATGCAAACTTCAAATCTTTGACTCACACAGATTTTAGTTATTACATTAGTCACATGCTCAGGCAAAGCAGAAAATCACTCCAGGAAAAAAATCTCTCCAGTTAGCTCAAGACTACTAGATTAAGGAAAAGAGGAACTATGCAGTGCAGGATTGCTTTTAAAAATATGTTGTATTCAATCAGGGAATTACATCAGCACTTGAGTCAAAGCCTTACTTTCATGAAGATTGGAGCTTCAAGTTTGTCTAGACAAGTAATTTACAGCAAGGGGAAAAATCTAAACCATTGAATCCTAATGTTGTAAACAGTCTGTTATCAAGACTGGTAATACAGACAGAGCTCTGCTTTTCTCAAGGACCACCCACAAGAGAAAGAATTTGATATGGCAACTTGCCTGAAAAATTTATTTATGATACCCCAGTATGTGGTAGCTGCATGAAAGAGCTGTACGAGTGGGGAGTGCTTTGCTGAGGGAGCAGCTGATGGGATTGGCCTTGACAGTGACTGCAGCATGCACTTCAGAAATGCCAGTCCTCCTAAAACACAGAATAAAGACAGGGAGTCTTCAAAGAGCCGCTTGACTGTTCTGCTCTGTCCTTTGGTCTTTCCGGCATTATGGCATTTCAAGAATCCCAAATTAATCATAACATGTGTAAAGGGACAGTTGTCTTTCCTCCTGCCCCCTTTCCTTTTAAAGAGCCTCCTTGATTAAGAGCCTACTTGCAGACCTTCTGCATGGTCTTTGAGCCACAGTAGCACATATCCTGGTGCATATGGGTTTCTGAAGGTGAGGGCAGAGCTCAGCATTACAACCCAGAGTTTTCCAAAGTGAGACACACCATCAGTCACTGTCGGCGGCTGCAGCAGGAGCATGGCAGACATCTGGTATAAACTGCCCCTTGACAGCCCCTAGCATCTCCTGAGACCACTGTAGGACAATGAGAGCTTTCTAAATCACATTTTCAGTCTTAGATATTAGAGCTGGATACCAGCATCCACACTTACACATTTTAGAACAGTCTGTGTGATCTACATTGAAATTGCTGTACAGCTTACTGAGAGAATTGAGAGAGATATGAAAATACACTTCTAACTGAAGTCCCCTACATTGATTTTGGTGTATTTTAACATTTCAGAAATTATTAGACTCAAGAGTGACTGAAATGTTACATAAAGCATATTTTGAACTAAAGCTATCTAAACTTTTCCAATGTTTCAAATCTAGCTGAATCTGGGCATTTGTCATGAAAAACTGAGGCAGACACACCGAAAAGGAGACCACCTGTAAAACAGTTCTCTCCTCTCCACAATGTTTTGGGGTTTTGATTTTAGTGGGTTTGGTTGGGTTTGGGGTTTTTTTGCTTTGGTTTGGGTTTTTTTCCACTTTGTTTTGGCTTTGAGTGTTTTTTAAGGGGTCGACTGGTTGTGAGTTTTTGTTGTTGTTGTTGCTGCCAAAAAGAAAGGTACATGAAAAAACAAAAGGCTGGTTAGTGTTCCTGGCTACTTGTTTGGTGAATACACAAAAAAGGAAGCTGGCCCAAGAGGGTTATTACATTCTTCTCTTCCTTTCTCTTTCCTCTGCTGCTCCACAAAGTTCTGAGTTGAATGGTTCAGGAGTGAGTGGGGAGCAAGGTCAAACACATCTTTACACAATGAAATCACATCTTGATAGCTTTGCTAGCTCAAGGGAAGAGTATAAAATCTACTGGAGGATGACCTGTTGCATTTTGCAATGCCCTGAATTATCCAGGCAGCTAGGATTGTTACTCCCTAGGAACAAATTAAAAATATTTAGGGTATTCCCACAGAACTTTTTGAAAAATCTGTGTGGCAAAACAATTGTTGCTACTGTTCAAAATGCTAAAGGCCTTTTTCAATACAGCAAGAGACTTTGTTGAAACTGAGACCTGGGAGGAGAAGTCCTCCCGCCACCAGGCTTTGCTATGTTGTGAGCACAGTGTGAGTCTGTGCTGGTGAAATATCTTCACTGAACAGGTCAATGAAAATTATATTGAGATCAAAGTTCTTTTCACCGTCTTCAAATACACATTCACCTAAAATCTGCTGTGGAAGTAAATAGTGGGAAGAAACAATGACAAAAATGTATTTGTGCAGAAATATTTGGCAAAGGAAAGGAAGAAGTCAAAAGCAGCTATTTTGACATAGATTAAAGCCTATTTTGGATGCAGGAGAGAGGAGGCTGTGTCTGGCCCCAGTGCCTAACCTGGATCAATAGAAGGGGAGTGATCTAGGCTGAGGACTGATGCAGGTACAGGGCTCAGTAGGGAGTCTGTGATTATTAACACCTCTGCATCAAAGTGTCTCTCCATGACGACCAGAACATTTGTCCTGCATCAAAGACACTAAGATGTGAAGCCATCTTTTTGGAAGACTTATTGCAGACATAGGGAGGCTGGTTAGTATTACTGCTGTTAAATGGCTTAGAATATGATAATACTGTGAGTATTGGGAAATGTAGTTCTTTCCCTACAGATTGGACAGCCTAAATGGCTTCTGGAAGAAAATAGATGCAGCCTATATAAGGATTATAGCTGCTTCCTGTCCAGAGTAGGCTAACTTCTACAAGTGTGCTTCAGAAAGTACTGATTTGTCAGCATGGAAAGTAAGCAGGAGAAAGGCTTTCAGGGACCTCAGTGGGCTTTGGCTCAATCCCTATTGAGAAAGAATGAACCTGCAGGAAGCAAGACATCTTCCGCTGAAAGCAGATATTGTGTTTCAAGGAAAATTATAGTATTGTAATCTGTCTACATTCAGTTCTAACAGGTTTTTTACACAGCACGAATCTCTTGCAGGGAAGTGACCCAACTGAGTTAATCAGACCAACTTACAATTCTTACTGAATATTGAAGTGCTATTATTGAAACTATGAGAGCAAAATACCAGATTTTAAATGCTTATGTAGGATGTCTGAGCCAGTGCCTGGGAATGAGGTGTAGCAAGGCCTCACTCCTGGAACAGGCACAGCAAGGATGTGCTCTGCAGGGAAGCGAGCAGGTTTGTGCTGCTGACATGAGGAACCATCCTTCTTATGCCATACTGGAAAACGGAAGCACTGCCTGGCACCTGAAGCTGTCTGCTGGGAAGCAGCAAACCAAGAGTTGGCCTCACCCCTGAGACATGCTGTAACCAAAACACAGTCAGCAGCGCAACCCCAGCTTGTGCGTGGGGAACAGCAATGGTGCCTTGCCAGGAGCACTCCAAATTGCGTGAAAAGCAGAACAACTCAGGGCTGAGAGAACAAATTAGACCTGTAGGTGTTATGTACACTGCTGTTTAAATAAAGCTCTCAAGCTAGAGGGAGCCATGCAGCTTTCTGGGCAGGTACCTCTGGGGGGCACTATGACCGCAAAATGAAACCCTGGAAAATTTGGCTGCTGTTTTATTCCCCTGTTTTTTTTCTCGTCTAATGGCATTGCAGGCTTCGTACACTCATTCAGCTGCTCTCTCCAAGATATATACTGAGGGGTTTTTTTAGAAGAAATGAAAGAAAAATTAAATGCTGATTTGAAGGGAGTTTTTCTTGAGACAGAGCACAGTGAAACCCAGATAAAGGCATCAGAGATCTCTGTTCTGCCTCAGCCATACACAGACCACAGCATGTTTCAGCTCCACTCTTAGGTCTGACTATTCAGCAGAAAGTCCTGCCTTCTGTACACCTCTCAACAGCATGCCATCCACATTAATAACTTCCGAAACACCTGACTGGGCATGCTCGCACCAAAAGCCCACTGATGTCAACACAGTATTGAAGAAGGATCAACACTACAGGAGATCAGCCCATGGGGCACACCTGGTTCTGGTTTATGTCTGCTCTGCTTGCAGAGTTTGGTCTAAATCCCCTGTGTTGTTCCGTTCCTACCCACAGGCTAACATATGGCTGGGAGTCAGATCATCTGGCTGCTTTATGGGCTCTTATCTTTCACTGTGCTGCACACAAGAAGAAATACTTCTGGATCTTGCTCTGGTAGAGCAAACAATTATATAAGTGACATTAGGTAAATAAAACATCTTTTTGCCTTTGAAGAACACAAAAGAGTGTTATATATCTTCTTGCTGATCAAAGGTTTTATATTGCCCTTTTTGTTACACACACAGATTGTTATATTTGTCTAATGTTTACAGCATGTACAGCTGCTTTAATCTGTCACTCAGATTTCATAGTTTGTCTGCCTTTGGTTTTATCTCAGCTTTGAACAATAAGGCTTAGTGAGAAAGTATAACTGGGTATTTATGCCCCCCTTTTTATTCCAGCTTAGGTTTTCACCTGCATCTTCTTTCTAATCCATTCCACCCCCTACTTTCCAGCCTGTGCTGGGCAGCACTGGTGATTTAAGATTATAGTAAACAGGATGGAAATATTTCAGATATCATCGGAATGGTATTCTCCCTCACACACAGTGACAAAGGGACTTGAGTGTGCATGCAAGAGTGGGAGAAAAAAAAGAAGGCTGTAAAAGGAACTGAATTTAAGCATTGGCAGCCAGACAGTGGTGTTCTCTGGCAGACTGGCAGCTGCAAGTTGCCTGGAGGCTTTTTGGGCATGGTCAGGAACCACAGAGGCTGTGGAGCCAGTTTCATGACACCCTCAAGAGCACAGCCAGACAGTCACAAACAGACTTCACAGCACCATTTTAAAGCATTCTTAAATCTAAATCTAAATCTAAATCTAAATCTAAATCTAAATCTAAATTAAATCTTGAATTGTAGAGTCCAGAGCTGACTTTCTAAAAATGTAAATGAAGTTCTGAGCCTATGTGAAAGTTGTGAGACAAGTATAACTTGTAACTTCAGCTTTTCCAATTCATCTGAATGCATATCTTATTTGTTTTAAACAAATAAGTATTGATTCCCTGATATTTTAGAGTGGAGAACCCAACTCAGCTTAAACAAATAAAGCAGCTCATCTCAGTGGGCTCCTCCAGGGTTTGCTGCAGCTTGGCCTGTGTCTGATTCTTTCACTGATCTCTGATACCTAGATAGATCATGCAGTGAATTTGTTTCTTGACTTCTTTAATTTGTTTTCTTCCTCAGATGGGACCAATATCTGTGAAAACTAAAGCCTCTTTAAGATGAAAATTAATGAAACCAGTTTTGCTAGCAAGACGAATACTTTGTGACTTTAATCAAGGGCCATTCTTTACCTTGTTTGTCTCTTCTCTACTGTATTTTACAGAGGCAGAATATCTGGGTCACCTGGAGAGAATACCTTTTGATGAATAAAGATGTGCATGCTAGGAAGTGGAGAAGAAAGAAACCTAGACATAAGCTGTCTAGGGAACGGGATGTGAGATTTACAGGAGAAGTGGCCCTGGTGGCAAAAGAAGCTTGGAGAGAGGTCTGCAAGGTGTGGGTTCTGGACATAGCCTCCAGTGAGACAACCAAATAGCTGCAGACTGAAAGACTAGGAATGTGTCACAGCTGAGGTACTAGAACAAAGACCAAGGAGAGCAAAAGATGTCCATGAAGATGGAAATCAGCTTGTGAGGCAAATGGCTAATTCCCAAAGCCAAGTGGAAGGAGTTTCTGTAGAGGGGAAATTGAGAAAGCAGCAACAGGTAAGTAATTTCGTTTTGCTTTCGGTGCTATAAAAGCAGTGAAAATCTTTAAACCTTTCCAATATGTCTGATTCTGCCTGTCCCATTGCTTCTCCACAAGTCTGCAGGCTTGTGGAGTCGTTCTAGCAGCTCACTCTTATTCCTAAGAGTCCTAAAACTCCTTGCTGCTACCTGGCTTGAAATGTGTGCCCATCAGGGGGCAAAACCAAACCAATCCCATTTTTCTCCCTCCTTCTATATAATTTTGGACTGTGAAGTGAATATGACTTCAGTCACATAATGGGAATGAGCTGGGGATCATGTGGCCCCTGCTGCACCTGAATTTTAAATTTATTTATTTCAGTTTATCTTCTGGGGCTATTTTCCTGCAAGATAATGTAGTACAGCACACAGCCCACAGTTTTAATTAAAGCCTGAGAATGTTTTGTAAGGAAGTTCTCCAGACTGCAATGACAAAACGCTTCTGAGGATGTTATATGTATATCACACTTAACCACATGCACCCAATGTGAGTTGCTCAGAATGGATAAGCAAAGCACACTCTGCCCTTTTCTTCAGTGCAGGAATAGTTTTGAAAACAAGAATGTTTAAGGATTAATTCCCTACCAAAAGAAAAACCAAACCAGCAGAAGCTCTTGGTGTCTGAGACAAATGCTTGCAGAACATTGTCTAACCATCTACACATGCTGATTTTATAGACCCAGGCTTTAAAAGGCAGCTTTCTTCTCCCAGAGCTCCACCCACACCATAAATCAATGAATTGATCAATAAATAAAGTAACAAAATATCTCTGCTGCTGATACACAGTAGATGCCAGTTTCTCTTCCTGTTCTGTTTGGCTTCCAATGGATTGTATTCCAATGAATGGCACAGAGTGGGTGGCCCATACATTGATAATCACCTTAATTTTCAGAGTTGCCTCTATTACTAAACTGTGTCACTGATCCCGTCTGGATTACAGAAACCATTTTTACTGATGAAATCACAGAGAATTTCAGTAAAAGTTGAATAATATTCTTTCAATATTGAATAACTGTGTGGGTCTGGCTGCGCTTGCAACATAGGCATATGGCAAGCACATGAACAACATGCTGTACTCTGAACTTATTGTTTTAGTTTGTTTCTAGCAGTTTCAGTCCAGAAAAATCCATTGCTAGTAAATTATTTGTGATGTTTTGTTAGGAGAAAAAGATGTCACAGCAGAAGAATATCGTCTCTCCTTGATGCCCTCCCTCCCTCCTGCCTGTTGAGAGAGTATTGATGTTGCACACAAACAACTTTTTAATTTTCTTTTTCCTAAGTATAAGCAAGTCTGGCAAAAAGAAAGTAAACTTCATGATTTAATAAGAGTAAATCAAGATTTGTCAGGAAAGATAGTCCTTTGTTAGATTGAGTTTCATACTTGGATAAAACAGGAAATCTTTCAGACACATATGCCCTCCTCCAGATTCTAATGTAATAAAAAATATTGCCTCTCCTCAAAAACTTTTATCCTTGTACGTTGTATCACAGCTATATCAACACAACATTCATATCCTTGTGAGCAACAATCACAGATACTTGTTTCTTATTTGAAAATTTCAGATGTTGCTTTTGGAGTTTTTGAGGACACACTCGCAGCCATCTCACCTTTTTTTACATTCTGTAATGGGTTTGGGCATTAGATATTTGCCTCACAAGCTGATTTCCATCTTCATGGACATCTTTTGCTCTCCTAGGTCTTTGTAACAGACTTCACAGTAAAACTGAAAATCAGTGTATTTTTAAAATTTTGTTTTAACTTTTAGATATAATACTTTTATATATTCTCTAATCTAGCTGCAAACTTCTGCTTAATGTCAGCAACAAGTTCTCTTTTCTTAACAGCTGCTTAACAACTCTATAGAGACAGCCTCTGGCTCCCCAGGTGCCATGTAATTCCAGCAGTAGGCATATTCTAAATCCCACTTAAATGTGGAGAAACTTTCTACTTTTTCCACAAGAGAAGGGCCACCCAGCACAGTTTGATACATCTGATATGTTGGAAGTGCTCACAAACACAGCAAGTGTGGTAGTGTGTTGTTAAGTTTCTTGTGTTATTCCCCCAATTTATGTATTGTTCTCCCCTATTATGTGTAAAATGGGTTCGTTCCCCCAGTTTTTCCCACCAGTGCTAGCCTGTCAGCTAAGTTGCTATAGTAACCGCTATTCATAGTTGCCGATATGTAATTGCTCCTCCCCTGGTTTCCCTTATAAGTGAAAGTTGTTTCCTCCCTGTCCAGTCAATCGCTCCCTTCCTCCTCCCAGGTTTCGAGAACCTTCTCCTCTCTGGAGATGGTGGTTGGCTGGGGTCCCAGGACACCTCCTTTACCTTTTGATTATTGGTCTCCATGGAGTGTCAGTTCTGTGAAGTTCATCCCCTCACCTTTCCCGATTGGCTCCGCCTGTACCCACCCCCCTCCTTTATAATCCTGTTTTCACCCCCTATGAGAAAAAAACTTTTTCCCGGTTGGTTTCCCGGTGTTTGGATCCGGCATCACCTTCAATAAACCGATGTTTAACCCCCGGGAAATGGTCAGCTCCGTTCCTCTCCTATACCAGCGATGTACGCCAGTCCACAGCCAGCACAGCCCGAGGCCATCAGACGCCGAAGGGTGCTGGCCAGGAATTGCAGAGGGGCGTCGGCCTTTCGCCCTCAGCTAGTCGGACTCTAAACTTCGGGCCACATATGTTCTCCTCTGCAAGCAAGAAAGTGACTATTGCTTTTTCAGTACATTTTCGCACCCTATTTGATGCTGTAGCACATCCGGATAGTGCATCCATGTCTATGCTGGAGATGGCAATTTTCTGCTTTAAAGCTGTTCCCCCACGTGCATTTGGCCTTCTCATTTTTCTTCATCAACCATCTTCTCATGAAATCTTAATTTCTATTTTAGGGTGTTTATTACCTCCCCAGCGAAGCAGTGCAGGCAGAGCACAGCCTCTTAAAGGATTTGAGATCCTTCCCTTGATCTGGACATGGCTGCCTGCCTCTCCCTGGGAACAGCCACTGTGTGGAGCATCACTCATCCTCTTTCTTACAGGACTGCTCTTTGTCCCTGGTATTCAAAAGCTGTGCTGCTGAACCTGGCCTTGAGCAATGTGAAAGTGTGCCACGTGGCTGTGAAAGCAGCCAGCTACCTGGCCGAAGAAGCACAGCCCGTGTACACAAAAGTGGAATTCAGCTAATTTCACCTCCAGAAGCTACTTTCTATGTTGAAACAACATAATTCAGGGGGCAAGCAGAGTTCCTCTAGGTGCTGGTAAGCTGCCCTCACCCTGCTGGGGTGACTTCCCAGTGCTCCAGCAGCACCTGTATAGCATCCACGTAGGGAAAGCTACACCTAATCTTGGAGGCCAGAGTTACACTGGGATAACCCCAAGCACTCTCAGGGCCATATCAGTCCTTTTCCTCTTCTGGAGGCACTGGACATTTTAGCATTCATGTAAATAAAGTATGTGTGAAACAAATGTTGTATCTTTCCACACAGACACACATGCATGACACAAATGCTCTGAGGCTATCGGGTCATTTATAATGCTCTTTGGTTTTTATTACCAAGTAGACACAGTATTTTTCATGTACACAACTTGCATATTCGCTATTATTTTCAGCTGTTTTAAAGTAATAAATATTCTCATGCACCTGGACATAGTGGTGCTGCAATTCTTACACATTTGCCTCTCTCCCATCACTTATTTTAAAAGTTCAGTATTGGTCTTATATTTCCTATGTTGTTACTCAAAATACATGTATGATCTTAAAAAAAAAAAGAAAGAAAAGAAAAAAGAAAAAAAAAGCCAATGGACCTGCCATTTCTCTGCAATCTTGTCAAGACAAGACTCTGCATGGTGCTTCAAAACAGAATAATGGCATTTATCCCAAGGTGTGTTTCTAGCTGTGCTCCCCCTATCCCTAGCAGTTTGTGTGGTGCACTGACATAAATTTATACTTGTGAGAGTGCACTACCACATAGGGAGCAATAGCTGCCTTTCAAAATGCAGCTTTTTTCTTTTGAGAGCTTTTGCTATCAAGTCCAAACACTGGAAAAAATGGGAAGAATAAATTCTCCAATCACACAATTTACAAAGTGTGAAGCTTTAGGATATTAAAATATTATTAAAGGGGTCTTCACTTTGTTGGGTTCACTCACGTCCTCTGCATTGAACTTGACTTGCTCTCGTTAATATGATGTTTCCTTGAGTCAGAGAAAAAACCAGAGGAACAGAGTGAAGCATAAAGGACATAAAATCAGGCCAAGACCTCTGGTATCAGGAAAGGACTAAGAACAATCAGTGACACTGGAACATGGATACACTTATGCTTATAGAAGCATAATAATAGCTTTGTTCTCAATTCAGATATATTTTGAAGGTATAATAAAATGTTACACTGCAGTTTCTCATGAGATGATGTCCTGGGTGGGTCCTGACATACATCAGCATTTTAGAAATGACATTTAACATCTAGCAAGAAATGAAACATAATTCTCCAGGTTTACAAGAACGAGTAATAAAGACCATGAGCGATGGTCTGGCAGAAAAATCCTGGCAAGGAGGATTACAGTGGATTTTAATATGACTTTCCAATGTCATGTAAGGGTACTTTTGAAGTCTACATATTTTGGTATCTGCTTCTCTCTCCATGTGCCCCAGCTTTAGCATGGCTGCATCAGAAAAATGGAATGAGTGCTATTATGCATGTGGTATTGTGCAGATTTAACTGCTGGATTGTCCCCTGGGAGCAAGCCACTGAAGAAAGCCCTGCCACAGTTTGTAACCTTTCTTCAGCAGAGGGGTGACTCACAAGAACACATGCACACGTGTGACAATGTGTTTTTATAGGCCATATCTTCTCCCCTTTTTTGTTCCTGGTGAAAGACCCTTCACCTCTGAACAATTGAGTGCTTTAGGTGGCATGGCAGTCACTAGCTGCTCCTTCCATGCTGCTATTGGAATGACACTTAGGTAAAGGGAAACTTCTTGATGGCAAAAGTAGTGGCCAATAGGGAGGGCATTCCTGATAATGTAATTATTAGCCAAAGGAGAAACTCTGGTCACCTCCAGCAGGCTTCTCTAAAATCCATCACAACATTAACAGTAGAATTGTTGACAATTCTTGCTCCTCCTTCTAGGTGGGTGAAGTTCATTCTTAAAGAGGGGCTTCTACTGGTAAACCCAGGTCACGCTTTCTGTTTTTTCCAGTAGATGAAAAATGAGAGAACTCCTAAGAACAGAGCTTAATCTGTGAAGAAATGGGGAACTCAGCGTACTCACTTCATAAAGAAACCTCTAAGGAAATTTGCTCTGTTAAATTTCTCTAGTTTAATAGCTGTGAAGTCATAAAATTTAACTGAACAATGGTTTTCCATATAAAGGTCTCTTCAGTCAATAGTTCCTCTCTAAACTGTTCCAAATCATCTTGGCTCCAATAAGATCAGATGCTCAAACAGCCAGTGCAGGAAACAGTGTGATTTCTATAGGTTTAGCAGCTGTTCAATATGTTCTGTTCTGGTGTACAATTTTGTCACATTTTTCACAGGCTTCTATTATTGTGTCTAATAGACAGGACACATAAGAGATAATTTTTAAAAGCAGTTTGTGGGGGGAGGCATTGCCTTTTACAGTATTTTTTAATTGAGATGTAGACAGAAGTCCAACCTATTTAACGTGCAAATGGTTTTGCAGTAAATTAGCAATATAAAAGAGGACTATCTGAGCTTCCAGAGTCTGACAGGTGTTTTGCAGTCCCAGGTGGTGATTAACATCAGTGATATTTATTTATCTCATGAACACTATGACAAATTAAAACACAGCCTATTGAATTTCTTGTGCTTGTTTCACCAGAAAATAAAAACAATATAAATTCTTTTAGTCCCAATTCCATTCTCCTTATCTACAGGTCAATAAATTAGAAATACAGGGGAGACTGAACACATTTACTCGTCATGTAGCTCAAGTTTGTCAGTTGCCTTGCTTTCTCCAGTTGGAAGGGCATCTGCCCTGGGCTGGGCACCACAGGCTCCTGTCTCTTACCAAGAGAGCTGTTGGAGCTTCACTGTCATCCTGCTGTGCCTTGCACTCATCACTGCTGCAGTGCTGCGGAAGGATGTGTCCCTGAGAACAAATTTCAGATCTCATTAAAAAACTGCCTCTCCCTAAACTTTACAGGGAGGATCAGTTGCGTTTTCTACCACAGACAAACCAGGAAGTTGTAAAACAGTTGTTGGAGAGAACGTATGAGGCATTTTGTTTAACCTGCAATGCAGAGTTTCATTCAGAGATTTTTCTGTCTTGTAAAATAAAGACACATTTCTAAACAGCATGTCACTTCAAAATGTGAAACCAAAGTTCTCAATTTTTTATTTAGGATGTCAATTAAAACTTTTGCTTTTCTCTGTATGATTAAAACAACTCAACGTGTTGTTCAACGTGAATTCCAGCTCACTTTTACAAAGGAAATATTATCAAAACTAAGTCCAAACTGATAAAGCACAGTTACTCTCTTTCTAGCTGCATTTATTTCTAGATTATTTAGATTTAATGTTTTTTAGGCTATGGGAGTATATTATTACAATTAATTTATTGGTTTGATATAATAATTCCCTGGGGGAAAAAAGATCTGGCATCGTTTACAATACTGTGGTCCCCTGTTTGGAGAATTTTCATATGTGTAATAATTGGTCTGAGAATTGCAGGGAAACCAGTGATAGCCAGTGTCTGCCCAAAACTTGCAATCCAGATGCAAAATCAATAAAAGTGGTACATCTCTCAGCAGAAAACTGCCTCCTTCTCTTCTGGCAGATAGTTGGTATGAGTGGATTGTATCTCTAACTTTGAGAGTCTGATTTGATAACACTGTAAATCCATAATAGAGATAGTCCACACACAGGATTCTGGTAATCTCAGATGAGTCAGCTTTTGCATAAACAAATTTCAGATTATCCACATGTCAGATACATCCTTCAGTTCTAAAACTCAGGGACTACATGAATTTATTTGAAGTCACAAATCTTGGGCTGTCCTGGAGCTACATGGATGACTGGAATGCATCTGCATTCCTCAAAGATTCCAGCAGACTTCCCATCACACTAAAATATTCAGAATGAGAACTGGTGGGTCATAATTACATTCATATATTTGCATGCTTGAGTGACAGTTTGTATATATTATTATCATGTTTCTTCATTTTCTTCTATATATTTTAGGATTAAGGTATTAGGAGTATCCTTACTATGTGGGGGAGCTGTTCATCATTTCTGTCTGTATCTACTCTACTGTTTTAAAGTCAAGATTTTCCATGCTAACTCCAAAGCACGTCATGTGGTTTAGGTAATTTTGGGCTGATAATAATAATATTTAGGTAAACTATTATCTCACAAACTGAGATGAAACACAGAGGTCCACTGTGGACCTGTATGAAAAAAACTCTCAGAGAAACTTTGGAGACAAATGGTAGTTTACAAAACATTTTCCATAAAGCTCTGTCTCGGTGCGGGCAGAAGGCAGATGTTTAATGAACTGTAAACAAATGTTGAGTGTCAGAACTATAGAGTCTTTTCCATGGTTGGAAAAAACCTCCAGGATCACCAAGTCCAGCCTTTGAACAGACACCCATGCCCACTAACTCACACAGGCTTCCCCCATCTTTCCTCCTGGAGGACAGGTGCTGGTGGAGGGTCGGCACTCTTGGCACAACAAAAGCTTGTGCCACTGCTGGCATGAGCTTAGAGGTTTGCTGTTCACTTGGAGCTTGTAAGAAACAGTGATTCCTACTGGTCACTTTGAAATGAGCCATAATTTGTTAATTGAAACATATGCCCAAAGGTAATTGTTCAGTTTTGGTCATTATGGGACTGTTTCTTCTCCCTTGGGTGCAGTACAGTACAGTAGAAAGGTCTGTTTAAAAACCTGGACTAGCCTCTCCTTCTTCCTTTTTCAGGGACAGTGTGATTCTCCAATTAAAATTACACCAGGGATTGGCTGTGCTACAGTTTATTAACAAAACACTGAAGCACATATTTACTGTAGTCCAAGTTCAAGCATAGCCATCAAGAATTCAAGCATGACCATTAAGCATATGACTATCTGCATGGTGTAATGGCAGGGAAAATGTTTTCAGAGACCCCAAACAATGTAGCAATGTTTATAAATGCTCTTACCCTTTTATTCAAACTGCATTTAGCAATAACTTGGTGCTTCAGTGGTGCTGTGTGAGACTGTATCCACACGCAGCAAACAGCAACAGAGGAAGCACAAACTCAAAATTGTCTATTAGCTGAGGTTGCATCTCTCAATACACAGGGGTGTGTGTAGGGAAGAATGCAGGGTTACACCTCTTAGGCAGATAGTTTTGCTATGCTTATGATCAGCATGGAGACTGCAAACAGGAAAGCTGATTAATGGTAAAACCAGGCACGAGCTATGAGCTCTAGCACAGATAACAATCTATGAAATGGTGTTTAGTGACGTGGCCAAGTGAGATTCTGTCTGCTGATAAACCTCAGTTTTACCAGAAGAGACTTTGTATGGCTCACATGGAAAGGAAGGACAATTTTGAGCTGTCTTCTGGAAGAGCTAGATGGAGGAAGCAGAATAGTTTCTTGACCAGTTTCATTCAGCCAGAGACTTCTGTGGATGTGATAGGCACCATGTGGTTTCACAAATTATCATTTGCTTATGTGAT